TTATATCTTTCGACATTGCCTTTTGAATCCCTTTTGGTTTTAAATATCCATTTGCAACCAATGGGTTTCGAGCCTTCAGGCAACTCGACAAGATCCCAAACGTCATTGTCTTTCATGGATTTCATCTCTTCTTGCATGGCATTGATCCAATGTTGAGAATTAGAACTTTGAAGGGCTTCACGAAGGGTGATTGGATCATCTTCCGCTAAGCCTACTGAATCTTCTTGTTCTAGGAGGAACACGATATAGTCATCTGGAATCGCACTTCTCCTTTGTCTGTTGGATCTCCTCAATGACACTTCTTGAGGTTGTTGAGTTTGCTCTATGGAAGGAACTTCATTGTTGTCTTGAACCGGAATCGCTTCATGAACAGTGTCAGGAATTGTTGTCTGATCACTATCGATAATAATGTCAGGAAGAGAAATGGATTTCTCTTCTTGCAAGACAACTATTTCGTCAAAAGAGACGTTCCTCAATTCTTCCCCTCCAAACTCAACATCTTCAAGAAATATCGCATTTCCCGTCTCAAAGAAGGAGCGAGTAGTGGGATTATAGAACTTGAACCCTCGAGAACGTTCCACGTATCCAACAAAGTAACAATTAACTGTCCTAGAGTCCAATTTTCTTTCGTTGAGCCTATAAGGCCTCGCTTCAGCTGGACATCCCTGAATGTGTAGGTGCCTTATGCTGGGCTTTTTCCCAGCCCACAACTCATATGAGGTTTTAGTTACTGCTTTACTGGGTACTCTGTTAAGGATATACACTGCAGTTTTTAATGCTTCTCCCCAAAGTGATTCAGGTAAAGAAGAATGGCTAATCATGCTCCTTACCATGTCCTTAAGTGTCATGTTTCGTCTTTCAGCAACACCATTCATGTTGGGTGTACCYGGCATGGTGTACTGTGGGACGATACCACATTCCTTTAGGAAGTTAACAAAGGGTCCTGGACGTTGCTCTCCTGATCCATCATACCTGCCATAATATTCCCCGCCACGGTCAGATTTGACGACTTTAATTTTCTTACCAAGTTGAAGTTCAACTTCAGCTTTATAAGACTTGGAAACGTCCAGGGATTGAGACTTCTCACTTATTAAGTATTGGTACCCGTACCGTGAATAGTCGTCTATGAACGTAATGAAGTACTGCTAGCCATTCCATGCAGGCGTAGGGAATGGCCCACAAATGTTTGTACGTATCAGTTCTAAGACTTCCGTACATCTATTGGAACCTAATTTCTTTGTGTTCGTCAATTTTCCCTTAATACACTCAATACAGACTTGGAAGTCCATTAAATCAAGGGAATCAAGAATTCTGTCCGACACAAGCCTCCGAATTCTTTGTTTAGAGATGTGGCCTAAGCGCTTATGCCATAAGGAAGCAGAATTCTCGGTTAATTTACGCTTTGCACCTTTAGTACTTGCATGCGAGACTGCATTGTGGGAAGCAATAGTTTCTAACATATAAAGACGATCAATTAAAGTACCGGTACCAATAACATTCGAATTTAGAGAAATACTAACTTTATTTATTCCAAAACCACAAAAGTAATCAGATTTGTCTAAATAGGAAATAGAAATTAAGTTCCATTTAAATGACGGAGCTACAAACGTCTCAACTAAATTCAAATAACAACCAATTTTTAAAATTAATCTAAAATGTCCAATAGCTTCCACAAGAACTTTATTGCCATCGCCTACATAGATGAATCTTTCAGCATCAATTGGCGGTTGGCTCCAGATGCAACCCTACATAGACACACTTATGTGAGTAGTAGCGCCAGAATCTATCCACCAAGTGTCTATAGGTACAGAAGCTAAATTAGCCTCATAACAAACTAAAGTGAGAAACATACCCTTCTTTATGCGCCAGGCGACGTATTTGGGACACTCTTTCTTCATGTGTCCTCATTTCTTGCAGAAAAAACAAGTAAATCCATCACCTTGCTTCTTTGCCTTTTTCTGCGTGGGTGTTCCTTTTGTAGTATCCTTAGTCCTCTTCTTTTTATTATTCTGAGAGGTTGATGCTAAGTGAGCACTTTCCGTCTTTTCTCTCTGGATTCTTTCTTCTTCTTGCACACATTGAGAAATGAGCTCATTAAGAGTCCATTTCTCCTTTTGAGTATTATAACTCACCTTAAATTGACTGAATTATGCAAGAAGAGAAATGAGAAATGCATGAGCAAATCATCATTTATCTCTAACTTTAGTGCCTTTAGTTTACYSGCAAGATTYGACATTTCCAGTATGTACTCCCTTATATTTCCTTTTCCCTTGTACCTCATAGAAATTAGAGTAGCTAAAAGGTTGCTAGTCTCCGCTTTCTCATTCTTGGCGAAATACTGTTGTATCGCCACAAGGGATTCCTTAGCATTAATGCTCTCAGAAATAGAGCCCTGAAACGCTTTTGGTATGGAACGTTTCATAATCATCAGACTCATGCGATTAGTACGATCTCACTTCTCAACTTTGGCCTCATTGGAATTGTCCTCAGCCAGGATGGGTCGCTTCGTCCTTAACACAAGGTCTAAATCCATGCAGCCGAGAACGATTTCCACATTCTCTTTCTAGATCTTAAAGTTTGTACCATTCAGCAGGGGAATGGCACTGATTTGAGTAGAAACATTATTTGTAGTTGCTGAAACTGAACAGAGAACAAAAACAACATAAATCAATAATATAAATTACAAAGGCAAGATACCCAGCACAACTTGACATTTAGTGTTTGCATAGAAACATCAATTGTAAATGGTACTCTCAACGCAACAATCAAACATTGATAAAAA